CTCTCTCTCTCTCTCTCTCTCTCTCTCTCTCTCTCTCTCCTCTGCTTCTCCAGTGAAGGCAGCTCTGGCTTTCTTCCCTTTGGGAGGCTGGGGTGTGGTGGAGACGACAGGCCTGGGAGAGCACCTCCTCCACTGAGCTGATGCCCAGGGGACTTCTGCCAGCCCTCTGGATGCTCCTCAGGAGGCCTGAACACCCCTGACTCCTGATGCTCAGAGATGCTATCGCCTGTCTTCCGTCCGCATGACCTGTGGGATGCCTTAGATGGCCAGGTAGATGTTCTGAGCACAAGCAGGCAGACGAGGGTAGGGATCAGGCCTCAGCACTGAGCGTCGAGGGAGGGGCCAGGTCTGCTGCCCACGCAGGGCCCACGAACCCAACCCACTGCCCCTGCCCCGCTGGCCCTGGAGCCCGCACTGACTCAACCCTGAGCAGAGCTGGGTCAGTGGCTGGAGCAGAGAACATGGGGCTCCCAGGGCTGCAGCGTGGAGCTCAAGCTGCGAGCCAGACCAGTGGGTAGAGTCCCGCAGGAGTCCCCTGTGCTCAGGCTGAGGATCCACCCTCTGGCCCAGCCCTTGAGGGCCAGGGGCAGAAGCCCATGCTGCTGCCTGGCTGTGGATTAAATGCATGGGACAGAGTGCAGCAGTTGTGGAGACCCAAGGCTGAACCCTAGGGCAACCCCCAGACATGCCCCCTCTACACTGCGCTTGGCACAGCAGTGGGGGGCTGAGCCAGTGGCTCAGAGCACAGAAAGGAGGCCGAGGGGCCCTGCTGCAGGATGGGAGGTGGGGCAGAGCTGTTTGTGGACAGTTGGGAGCCCCTCGCTGGGCAGGCTCAGGACTGCAGTGACGGGAGAAGCTGGCAGTCTTCACTCACGGCCTCACTGCCCGGTGCTTGGGCCCACTGGTCTCAGAGAATGCTGGCTTCCTGCTGAAAAGCCACCTCAGAGGCTGCTCCAGCACTCAGCTCTGGAAGACAAGAGGCAGCGTCTCCCCCACCGGGAGCCAGGGCTGCTGTGCCGTCCCGCAAACTCTGTGAGTCCAAGGCCACTGGCTACTGCAGGACGAGCCATCGCCACCAGCAACCCCAACATGTTGGCCACTGGGCCGTGAGACTTCCAGGAGAGGGTACACTCAGCACCATCACACTTCAGATACCTGCAGGCCTCTGGACCAGACACCAGTGAGCAGGAAGGAGTCAGGGCCCCCTCTGGATGTCCCCAGCATGCAGGACCTTGGCTCAGCAAGCCAGACACCAGGGTTCCCTGCCCGTGTGTTCACACTGCCCTCGGCCTCCTTGCAGCAGGGCAGCCCCATGGCCGCCAGCTGCCCCCCACCCCCCACCCCCACCCTCCCAAGCACTGTCTTCACTGTACTTGCTTGGCCACAGTGCCTCTTGCAGCCATGCCCCTTGCAGGCATGGTGCCCACTGCCCCTGCCCTGGAGGGGCGGTCATTCTGCGGCCTCAGGTGAGTTTCTGGACCTCAAGGCTTTGGACTGCAGAAGTCTCCAAAGGAAACCCCAAGTCACCTGTCTGTGGCAATTCGCCAGCCATCATCTGAACGCTCAGCTGCAGACTCAGCACGGCGCCGGGCATGGAAGGCCCACCTGAGCATCACCACTAACAGCAAGAAGGAGGGCTGCGGGAAGTGTGCTGCGGACCCCCCGGAGCAGCTTGTTGTGCCGGCTGTCCTGATAGGAACTCGGTTGTTCTTGTCGCTGGAGGAACTCGGGTCCTCGCTGTTGCTGAGGATCTCTTCAGGGGAGCTCTGGCCCTGGCCTGAGGGTCGCTTCCTGGCCCCACTGCAGAGCCCTCCGGCTGCTGGTGCAGATTTTCACCCCGCTGGTCAGTACTTTCTTGCACAACTTCTACCCTGGGCCTTCCCAGTGCAGATCTCTGATACAGACTTGCATGAGACACTGTTGGCTCTAGGCCGCCAGCTGGACTCATGCAGGACACTGCTGTGGGCTCCTGGCCCTCAGCTGGATTCTCTGGGTCTCCACTGCATGGACAGATCTCCTGCACTCGTCTGCATTTAACTCTGTAGGCGATTACAATAAAATAACCCTATAAATAGTGTCCTGTATGAAGTCTATTCCTTGTGAGCCCTGACCACAGCACTGTCCCTGGGGTGCACTGTCAAGGGACAACTTGCAGATGTCTGTTCTGGCGTGGACGAGGGCCCCCATCCAGCCCACAGAACCCCCCAAGGGTGCAGCCCAAGCCTCCCTCCACCTCACAGAGGACGCAGCCCCTCGTGTGGATCTGCCCACTCCTCATGGGCACCGGCAGGGGCACCAGAGCCCGGCCCCCATGGGCCACAGCTGAGTGCCCAGCAGTCTCCACAGCCCAGCCTGAGCAGATGGTCCTGGATGCTCCGCACGAGCCTCGCTGCATCTTTATTCACACCTCATACCAGGGATGGCGGCAGGACAGATTCGCCTCCCCTACATGACACTCCCGTCTGCAGAACAATAGGCTCATCACACGACCACATCTCCACACCACTCCGCAGTTTTCCGGAGAGCAGGCTGGATTTTTGGAGCACAGGGATCTTTGTGTGACTGTGAACTTCCTTCCTGCATGCCTGCAGCAGACTGCTTCTGGTCGCTCCGCTTCTGGGAGGGGCAGCACCCAGAACTGGGTACGGGGCTTTGGTTGGGGCCGGAGCGGCAGCACCGGGTGCCGCCTGGTCCCTGAGACGTTACCAGCTGGCCACCGCCAAGCACGCAGCCAGCCCTGTCCTGACGGTGGGGGCCTGGATGAGGGATGCCTCCACAGAGCATCCAGGGGTATGGTGGGCTCTCGGGCGTTTAGCTTATCACCCTGGAGACCGAGGTCGGGGTACAAGTGAAACTCGCACATTCACCAGAGAACTTCATGCATACACAGCCAGACTTTAACAGCTTCCTGTGAGAACACTGTCTGCCTCCTACGCCTGACCTCAGCCCCCAGGCCCGCCAGGGGGAGCATCCAGCTGCCTGGAACCTGATGCCATGGGTCTGCACAGAGGTCTCGAGCGCCTGTGATGTGTGTGGGGAGCTGACCGCAGGGCCTTGGTGCCCCTCCAGGCATCACCCAAGGCCCGGCTGGCGTCACCATCCCCTCACCGCAAGCAGCCCCTTGGGCAGCCACACACATGCAGGGACTCTGCAGGTGTCCCGTCTCCTGCCCAGACATCTGTGCCCAGGCACCTGGGCCCCCTCTGGAGCCCCGGGTGTGGTGGGAGGTGAGACACGCCCACACTGAGACACGCCCACACTGAGACACGCTGCAGGGCCAAGGACCCATCTCCAGCAGTGGTCCCAGCCTTGGAGGGTGCGGCAGACACGGCTGCAGGAGGGAGGACCCCAGCCAGACAGGAGGGGCGGGGAAGGTGGCAGGGCAGCGGCACAGGGCCGGGAGCACAGGAGCTGCCCTGGACGTGTCTGCCGTGAAGCCAGCTCAGCAGGCCATGGCCCATGCCGAGGCCATGAGATGCACGGACAGCGCCCCTCAGGGCAACGGTCCATGCCCCTTACCCATGGCCCTGCCAACTGCCCCAACCTTGCTGCTCTGCCCTCCTTCCAAGGAGGCTCTCACGGCCCTGCTAATAAAGAAAGAGGCCAGAAAGAGCCACGTTCCCGCCCCTAGACTGAACCCAGGGCTGCAAAGCCCAGCTCTGCTCAGCCCACAGCACGCTGCTGAAGAGATGCCAGAAGCCACGACACCACGGCGGGCCTGGGGCCTTCTGTACAAGTGGGAGGCGCGGCAGGCCCACAGGACTGAGCACTCAGAAGGGCGGTCCCTGCGCCCAACAGAGCCATCTGGACCCCGCGTCTCAACATCGGCTGCCTGGAGACTGACACACTTCGGAAGGTGGAGCACAGCCGTCGCCGCCTCCCGCTGTGCTCAGTCTAATTCCAGGCAGGCTAAGCGCAGGATGGGCGAGGGTGAGCCTGCTGTTCCGCCACCTGCAGACACGCAGGACGAGTTCCCAGGACTCGGCTGTGGGGGCCGTATCAGCGCCGCCATGGCCGTGGCTAGACAAGCAACGGAAACAGCAGCCAGGTGTGCACGTCCTATGACAGACGGTGCCACTGCAGCCCGACCACGGCCTGGGTCCACGCAGGCACCGCCTCTTGGAGCCAGTGGTTTCTGCACTGCGCCCTGTGGACAGCGTCCTAGCGCAGCTCAGAACTTCCAGGACAATACCCACCTGCTTGCACTTGTGCTTAGGGACTGGAGGGTGGCGAGTCCGTGCAACACCCGGGTGGCCTTTGGGCTGGGATGGCTGCGTCTTCACCAGTCACTGAGTTCTCAGCACGGCCTGTCACCCCCTACACTCAGGGCGAAGGCACCCACCAAACGCGGCCCCACGTGGAGGGCAGAAGGCCAGGCGGAGCCCCTCCTGCAGGGACCTCCGCCCTGCCTGTCCTCGCCCCACCCGGACCACGCCCACCAGGCAAAGCCCTGTCCCAAGGCTCCCTGTCGGGACAATCCCCAGCCCAGGTGGATTCCCCAAGCCCCCGACACTTCAAACCAAACAAGCAGAAGCAGGTCTGTGGGCCAGTCACTTGGGGAGATGTACAACATGGCCTCGCAGTGGACAAGTCGGCTTCAAATTTCCAACTTAATCAAATTATTATTTTTTTTTAATTTTTATTTATTTGTGTGTGTGTGTGTGTGTGTGTGTGTGTGTGTGGCCAGCTCAGCCCACCAGGGGGCGGGGCTGGCTGGCATGTGGTGCTGGGGGATTGAACCGCAGTCCCTGTGCTTTGCTAAGCTTGTTCTAAGTAGGTGCTTTAGACCACTGAGCCGTCTCACCAGCCCCCAATCAAATTATTATAACTAAAATTAAATCAAATTTACATCCCCAGCCAGGTGACGGTGAAGGACATAGCAGGCCCAGAGCAGGGCGCCACTAGGTACCACACAGAAAGCCACGCATGCGTGACTTCCGGATTTCCCAGGTAACGCTGCCTCAAGACCAAACCTTCACAGACCAGTCAGGAAACTGCGCTGAATCTGAAAGATAGCTGTTTTAATTTTCTAAGTGTACACTATGTAATATAAAAAAGGCAGATTTATGTGACCTGATATGACATTTTCCTCTTACAAAAAAGTTCCCCCCATCTGGTCAACAGTATATACATATTTACAATGAAAAAATAGGCAAGAAGAAAGGAAATCTTCATTATCCGAGTCAATTTCTTTCCAGTGCTCCTAAGAATCTGAGAATAAAATCCTCCGCTCAGTGAGCTGCCCGAAATTATGCACCACTCCAGCGATGGCGCTGCGGCTTCGCCGCTGTGCAATCCGTCTCTGTTCCAGCCGCTCCTGCTTTTTCTGTACTGTTTTGGAAGTTACATGAAACAGTAAATATAAAGATGTAAACTTCGAAAGGAGACCGAGCGAGAGCAAGCACGTGAAGGTGGAGCACGAAGACAGCGGCGCTCTCAGGTGAGCAGATCACGACACAAAAACCAGAACAGGACGCTGTGTTCCATGTTTTGAAGCAGGGACACCTCGCTTCAGCTCAGTTTTATTACAGTAACAAAAGCTGCCTCTGACAAGGATGCTGCTCCAGATGAATGCACTGCCCAGCAACGCTGCCAGCTAACGGGGACTGCACCACGCCAGAGCAGAGCCCCACGCTGTGGGGTCCGGCCCTAAACATGGCAGGGTGGCCTGTGGCCTGCCTAGTGGGTGCAGCCGCTCACCTTGGCCACACTCAGCTCCAGTAGACATGACGGGAACTACGCTACCAAATGCCAGGCCAATGATGGGCACAGTGGCAGCCAGCCCTGCACACTGAGGGAGCCGGTGGCCAGGGACAAGTCACGCAGCCTCACGTGTGGGACGTGCGCCGCCCCCTGGAACCCAGAGACACGCGGAGCCTGGGCTCCCTGGCCTTGTAGTGCTCGTTGAAGTCCAGCCTGAAGCTGAGGAACCGGAGACTCTCATCGGAGCTGGTCGTCAGTAACACCAGGAACTGCTGCACTATGCCCTGAAAGGAATGCAGGGGTGCGAGTCATCCAAAAGGTCCCCCAACAGCACGCTCTGGAACAGCCTCCGACCCCGCCAGGCTCCTCCACCGCTGGTGTTCAGGAGAGCGGGCACCGGGAGGGCCCCGGGAGGGCCCCGGGCCGCCCTGCTGCATCACAGTTATGTCCTCACAGTAAAACTCAGAAACACCTCTTATTCCAAGCCATCCAACTAGTGGGCATGTCCTCCTGCCCTTAAGCCTCCAGCACACACCCCAGGGCTGTGCTTCCGACTGCCCCTGACTCACGGGGCAGACCCATCACACCAGGGGCCCCTCACCATCAGGGCCTCGTGTGCAGGATACAGAGACATGACTCTCCTGGGCTCTACCAGGAGCCAGGCCCTGTGGCTCCCGCAGCCTGGGACAAGTTCCTAGCAGACAGAAGCCCCAGCCGTGTCCCCTCCTGGGCCACAGCACTCCAGACAGGGAGGAGCAGAGCTGACTTGGCATGCCACCTGGCACAGGGCAGACTGCAGTGTGCTGTGGCCATCTGTCACTCTAGCTGATGGCAGACAGAAGCCCCTAGAAATCACTGCCCCAAATGCAGCCTGTCCCAGTAGAACAGGAAACTGAATCTTGACGGCCTGCGAAGCCAACTCCAGCACACTGGGGGGACGACTAGGGCTGGGCCCCAGCAGCTGGGAAGGGCCCCAGCCTCACCCTGCCTGGCAGAGCTAGGAGCACAGGACTGGGTTGTGAGGAAAGGGGCGCGGAGGGGACAGCTTCCAATGCAAACGAAGACCACGAAGACCACGGTGGGCAGCAAGGAAGCGCCCTGGTTAACCTGCTCTCCAAGATGCAGCCGCACCCGCCAGGCACCCTGCAACCCCAACGCCGAGCGCTAGGTCTCCCGGGCTACACTGCGGAGCCAGCCCACCACCTGGCCACAGCAAGGGCGAGGAAGCTGCACTCCAGAGCAAACCTGATAGAAGTGCGTCAGGATCCGCAGCTGGGAACACATTTTGGGTATGGATTCTCGGAATTCTTGAATCCTCCTGCTCTCCTCCTCCTCCTCCGCTGCTGTCACACCCCACCGGCTCTGAAGAATCAAAAGCAGAAACTAAATTTTCTCACATTCTCTGTTTTTAAGAATCACAGCAACTGGGGCTGGTGAGATGGCTCAGTGGTCTAAAGCACCTACTTAGAACAAGCTTGGCAAAGCACAGGGACCGCGGTTCAATCCCCCAGCACCACATGCCAGCCAGCCCCGCCCCGCCCCCTGGTGGGCTGAGCTGGCCACACACACACGCATAAATAAATAAATAAAATTTAAAAAAAAAAAAAAAAAAAAAAAAAAAAAAAAAAAAAGAATCACAGCAACTCACCGCACGATGCTACCACACTGCGACTGCAAGTACACAGCCTTGTGGCTTTCCACCCTTTGGGACACTTTTTTTTATTCAGGCAATGTAAATATTTATATATCCAGACAGTATGTGAAACACAGTCAGAGCCAGCTTGCCTGGGGTCCCAGTGCTCTGGGAGGCTGAGGCAGGAGGGTCCCAAGTTAGAGGGGGACGGGGAGAGGGAGGGACGGAAAAGAGAGGGGAAAAGGGAAGGAGGCTGGGCCAGCCGGCCATGCACCTAAGCACAAAAGTCCCTGTCATGGTTAAATGCCCTGAAGTGCGCACACCCGCAGAGTCCCTGGCTCCTGTGGAGCCCTTGCTCTGTGGCTGGGACAGGGATGCCTCCGCCCACGCCCCGCAGCTGGGCATCTTCCTGAGCTGGAGGGAGCGTGCGCCTAACTCCACTTCAGGAGGATATACCTTCAGGTGCCTTCCTGCGGCTTCTGGCCAGCCTTCAACAGAGTCAGTTATCTCACTCCACACAGCTAACCTGGTGAACTGTGTTACGAGACTTCCGGGACCTCTGCATTCCTCAGATAGGCCCCAGTCATTCCAAACTGCTCTCAGTCGTTCCAGTTTCTGCTCGGTTTCATTCACTAACATTTGACCCAAGATTTTCCATCAGCATTTCTAACCTGGGCTGTCCTTCCTCTCTGAGCTTTGGTATCAGGCACTGGCTCCTTCCTGAGCAACCCATCGTCCTACTCTGCCTCAGCCTCTGTGTGTGTGTGTGTGTGTGTGTGTGTGTGTGTGTGTGTGTGTGTCTGAGGAATAAACCTGGGGCCTTCATGCCGAGCTATATTCCCAGCCCTTTTTTTTTCATTTTGAGACATGGTCTTGCTAAGCTGCCTGAGCTGGGCGTGAACCTATGACCCTCCTGCCTCAGTTGCCCGGAGTTCTACAATTACAAGGGTCCACCACCATTCCCAGCTTCAAGTGGGGATTTCTAAGTGTAAAGTGAACCAGTAACTACTACAATACACTACGTGCTGGTGACAGAACCAGGACTCCTTCTGTGAGGTGGCCGATGGAGTGGGTAGTGTAGGCAGCTATGCATGGCATAGGACAGCAAGTAACTAAGCTAATGTGAGAAACCAAGGCTTCCAAAGTAGAAGACTCATTTCTTTACAAATGAAGGAAATAAAAGTCCTCCAACTCTAAATCTGGATTAGAAATACTGTAATAACACAGAGCCACGCTCCCAAGGAGGAAGAAGACTCTCGGGGTGCCTCTGCCAAGCAGAGGCGAGGAAGACGCAGGCGACAGCTGCACTCCCCGGGGACTTGGCACTCAAGTCCACCCTCACGCCCTGGCCTCCTGAACGTGAAAACGAGACGGGGCGCAGCTCCAGCTTGCTTTCCTCTCTCCTGGCAGTAAGCAGGTCTGAGTGTAATGGCTGACACAGTGTGTCAACTTCACTAAGAAGCTTAACTAAGTATAACTCAGCATTCTCCATCCTAACCTCTAGAATGCTGTTCACTGTCAAATGGAGAAGTTTAGAAGGTCAACTAAGTGGCTCAGCAGGGGACAGCGTCCTCAGTCTGTGTCAGCGAAGGGGACAGAGATGGCAGAGGGCTGCACCCACCCAGGGACAGGGTAGCCTGCCCAGTATCAGGGAGAAGAGGCTTCTGTCCCCAGGTCTCGGTTACTTTTCGCTCGTTGCTAGAACAAAATACCTGACACCCAAAATTAAGAAAGGAAAGGTTTATCTAGCTCACAGTCAATGGACATTTCAGTCCATACTTGGCTGGCTCCAAGGCAGAGTGGCCCATGGCAGAGGGCAGTGTTCGTGGAGGCAGAAAACAGCAACGCAAAGGAGGAGCAGCAGCTGCAGCTTCTGGCCAGCCTCTCTCCCCGCCTTCCATGCTGACTGCGAAGACCAGAGCGCCTCCGGGAACTGGTACAAACCATCCTTCCTCAATCCCCTTATCCTCTTTCTGCGAGAGTCACTCGAGGGCGGGCCCTCCATGCCCTAGGTGGGGCCTGCACACCTAGCGAGGAGCTGTGCCCGTCCAGCCACGCTTTAACTCCTGAGGGTGACACGATGTACCAGCCACTACACCCCATGTGCCTTCTGCTGCCTGAGGCCGCCCTCACCACACTGCCTTGGAGCCTGCACTGAAACCTCCAGACTGAGCTGAACACGCCTTTCCTTCCTCAGTTCTGAGGGTTGGGTATTCTGTCTCAGAAACAACAAAAGTAAGCGACACACTGAGCGAAATGCCCTCTACGAGGTGGCTCTGTCCCTTCCTTCCTACGTGGCACAAGCACCCTGCCAGGCCTCCAGGGGTGTGGAGGCGCCTCTACCTCACAGAGCATTAGCCAGAAAGCTTTCAAGCTTGCATACCGCGCCGCTAAAATCATAAAGCACCCATACAAGCTGCACCTCCATCTCATTCTGCTGCTTCTTCTCTTCAAACTGCAGGCGCCTCTGCAGCTCCTCCAGGGCAGCGCGGTAGATTGCATCCTGAGTGTTCTGAAGCTCAATGATTTGGTCAAACACCGCTCGAAGCTGGTTTAAAAGTACCTGAAAAGACATGACCATTTTTCAGGACTATAACTTCAACGTGCTCCCTAAGCTTTTCAAATGAAGCTTTCCTAATTAGGAAAAGGAGATTTTCAATGCTTTGGACATGGTCTGTCTCCTCCGAGACTCAGGCTGAAATCTGATCTCCATAGTAACTGTGCAGGACCCACAAGGGACAGGTTCCAGGGTGCCCCACGAAGGGTGAAGGGTGTGCTGGTCTCTGGGACCTGCTGCTTTGGTTTGTGTCTCGAAGTCCTCCCAAGTCCTCACACAGAGCTGGGGTGGCTTCTAGAGTTTGGGATTAATTCATCCAATGCTAGGATTATGGGTGCCAGCCAGCATTACACCGCCTGAATGCGACGTAAGGAAGGGAGAGAAGCTTTCCAGGCCGGAGCCACTGCTCCTCCCTTTGCTCTCTACTGCCCTCCACCGCCATGAACGGCTGTTCCTGCCACGTGGCGCTCTGCTTGGAGCCAGCTCCTAAGTGCTGCGCAGTGCTGTCCACACATCTGTGTCAGTCCCTCTACCAGTGTGGCATGAGACAGAAACAATGGAACCTCAACACCAATCTGTTCCCTGAACTGAAAATGCACAGCGTCCCACACACCCAGACGCACAGTCCCATGGCAAAGTGCAGAGGTTCAGCTGAGGGAAGGAGTAAGCTAAATCCTTCCTCGTCATGACAGCCCCCCCAGGGACCCTGGCAAAACCGCAGCCTGGGCAGAGCAGCTGCGCCCCCTTCAAATGAGGAACAAGCTCAGGAAAAGCAGGAGTCCCACATGTGGAAACGGGAACAGAGCTCGCCTTCACATAAAAACATTCCAAGGAAAAGTCAGAAGATCCAAGAAACACAGGACTGGAAAAGGCTAATGGTCCGAGTGAAGACTGAGCAGCACTCCAGACCAGCCAGCATCGCAAAGAAAGCAGCTGACAGCACGTGCAAGCACTGCAGGGCAGGACAGCCCTCTCCCACGGCGTCCACAGCCAGGCCCCGTGGGCAGCCGGCTCCTTTGCACCAGCGGCTCCCTGCACATGGGGCTGCCAACGCTTGGGCTCAGGGTTCTCTCACTATCCCAGCAGGCACTGACAGCTGAGCCTGTACTGGGTCTCAAGGGAAACAAGCCAGAGATGAGCACTGCTAGGCTCCCAGTCCTTCCAGCTGACCAGGGGAGCACAGGGACAGCAAGACGTACAACTCCCCCTTCCCTCATTAGCTACAGCGGGCTCCATCAGGCCTGTCCTGAGAAAGACCTTCCAGTCCACACGGAATCCTGCTGCCCTCAGCAAACAGAACTAATGGCCAAAAGAATGTCAGGGCTGGGCCTGCACTCTTGCTGATACCCGCCGGAAGGCCCAGCTTTAGGTGCACAGCTGTCTCTTCACCCTTGCAGCTCTGGCTTCAAACATGCCACGCAGATTCCCTGGGACCACGACCCCCAAGCCCACCCCTGTATGTATGTACTCTCCCTCCAGAGCTGCGCCGACGTCACTCCGAATCAGCTGGCCTGTACCGAGACCACATTCAGTCTAGTCTTTCCCAGGCTCAGTCTCCGGTGTTTCCTCACGCACCATGAGCCACCAGACTCGAGCAGGGCAGGGTCAGCTGACCACAGCAACACCAACAAAACACAAGAGAGACCCGACTTTGGGTCGCCTTTAGTGCCAGACAACCCTGCATCAATGCCATCAACACTGCTCAGAGGTTGTCTTGTTGGTCAGAGAGGTCTTATTTTATGACAGAAAAGTAAAAGATCCAGATGGCTCATTTCAGTGGCTGCCATGACGTCCTCAACGTGCTTCCCCTAACGTACTCATTTTAACTTTGGGAGCAGCCCGGTGCTGCACAGTGCCAGGTCTGGTGACTGAGGTGCACTGGACGAGGGCGACATCCTGTTGTTACGAGCTGCCTTTCCCTTGGGGGCACTTGGCGGCATCATCACTGTATTCCTGAACACTCCTCCTAGGATACTCGGGAAGGAGGACTCTTCCAGCTATGCCCGAACGTGGTCAGGGCAGGGGTGCAATGGAAGGAGGGCAGAACCCGGAGGGATTCCCAACAGCATCTTCTGCAATAGCTTTTCTCACATTTAAACACACTGTATTTTTTGGTTAATCTTGGTATTTCTCTAACTTGCTTATCTCATTCTGTGGTCCCATAAAAACAAGCCACGGGCTGGGGAGAGAGGGACTGGAGAGATAGCTCAGTGGTCTAAGCACCTGCCTGACAAGCACAAGGATCTGGGTTCAATATCTGGTGCTGCCACCAAAAGTGGGCATGGCAGTGCAAACCTGTAATCCCAGTACTAGGGAGGCTGAGACAGGTGGATTACTGAGAGTCTGAGCTGTTAGTGAGACCCTGTACCAAATGGGTGAAGGAAGGAAGGAATTTTTTTTTTAAAGTCACTGTCTTTGGAACAATAGCTAAGCAACCGGCTGCACACGGACACACCACTGGAGGGCCCTGCCACAGCCTGCGCTCAGGACTCGGAGGGACATGATCCCTCCCTCCATGGTGACCGCAGCAGCAGCCTCCAGTGTGATTCGGGGCTTCCCTCCATATGGCACAGATGGAGACCCAAGGCAGTGACCAGCAGCCACCCTTAGGCTGTCACAACCAGTCTCACATCTGCGTGCCACCACAGCCATGGTCTTTGTCAGCAAGAATATCAGACCTCAAATGCGCTTCATGTATGTGTTACTTATTTTATATAAATAAAGGCTTTCTTTTAAAAGAAATGCTAGTGACTGTTCTAAACAAATCATCACCTTTAAGCCAACCAAGCCTCACTCGGGGATGAGGACACCTCTGCAGGCTCCTGCAGTGACGATGGGACCCAGTGCTGCGCAAGGACATGGTGCTTGGGACAGCTCATGGAGCTGCCTTGTGCTAGAGGCAGGAGCTGTGCCTTCCTTGTCTCCAAGCAGGCTGCACAGCATTAGAGCTAGTGACAGTACCACACACGCACACACAATCCAAATGCCAACTGCTTCAAATATTCCCAGTACCACCTCCATGCTGGTCACTCTGCTGGATGTTTCACGTGACCCACAACCACTGAACAGACTGTCGCCCCCTTTCAAAGAAAGAGAAGATGCATCAGAAGATCCCAAGTGGCCCTCACACAGTGAGCGGCTGAGACAGGACCTCTCTGATGCTGGTGACAGACCCACCCAGCCCATGCATAGGACAGAGGGTGCCTTGTGTGTGTGTGGGGGGGTCTCCGTCCTGTGTCAATCACTCAACACCATGTGGAGAATGCACCCTACACCTCCCAAAGTAAAAGGACTAACGGCCCACAAGCCACTTATAGACATTTCTTAAATCAATAACTCTAGTCCAAGTATTTTAACCACTTTCATGGTTATCTCAGTATATTCATAAACACATTCTGTATAGTAACATCTTGGAGGTCATCAATTTTTTACACATACAATCAATGACTCTTTAATAATGAAATTCAGTGTGTCAAAGTACACGTTCTTGGCCATGACAGCTCAGCTTAACACACCGCAGTGTGACCCAAGGAAGCCCTGCAGCAGGGCATTGTCCAGGAAGGACCCAGTCTACACAGGACAGGCAGGATGGCCTCTGCAGACCCACATGGCCAGAATCGGCTTGGAAGGTGACCCCTGAGGCCCCACTCTGCCTGCACACTTCCTCTTAGGCCTGGGAGACCTGCTCCACAGACTGTCACTTCACCACAGGGCCAGCACAACGCTTGAGGCCTAAGAATGTACTAGATTCAATCCAATAAGCCCCTTATTTACAAATACTTGCTGTCAGTCACCAGACTCCATGAGGGCAAAATGCAGAAAGGTCACGGTCCCCAGATGAGCACTGCCTAGCACATACAGCTGGGGTCTGACAACCACACAGCACGCAGGAGTCCAGGAGCAAGGGAGGCAGGTGCAGGCGGGGGCGGGCCCCTGAGGCTCCCGCCCGTCCGTCTCTGCAGTCACTGCACCCGCCCTGCTTCCCAGGTAACCTGCTGAGCTTACCCCTCTGTGACCACACCACAGCCACAGTAGAAGAGGTCGCTCACTCCTCCTTACCGCCTGCACACCCTCCTCCAGCAGTGAAAGCATGTCTCCTCTCACCCATTCTGCTAAATCTGTTTGGAATGAGGAACCAGACATCATCAGTTGCCATCCAGCTGCTCAGCTGTGGAGTCAGGACCAGCAGGGCCCACGGCAGCTCCTGCAAGGTGGGCTTACCCTGGAGTCACCGTCCAGCAGGCAGCGCGAGGTGATCGTGTCCAGGAAGGCCTCGTGTGCCGCAATGATGTGGTCTAGGTCCTGTGCCTGCTGCACCCGGTTCCAGAGCTCATCCCACGAGCACTCGAGCACCTGGAGGCGACCGTGGGAGGATCTGGAGGCTGCACTCCCCCATGCAGGCCCCTCCCCCAGAGCCCGTGGCATACCTCAAACGTGATGTAGTACTGCATCTGGTGGATGAAGTGCACCATCTCCGAGGCCAGGATGTGGCACTGGTGCAGCACCCCTGAGAACTCTGTGAGAGAGGGGGCATCAGTGGAGGGCACAGAGGACACAGTATGGCCTGGCACTCCTGTGGTCATGCTTAGCAGACACAGCACTCTGCCCTTGTGGCCAGCAGCAGGGAGCAGCCTGCCTTGCCACCTCACCAAGGCCTTGTCACCTGACCAAGCAGCTCCAAGTCATGCCATCCAATGCACGGCCCCAAGAGGGGCAGCACAGGACAAACTCGACTGCACTGAAAGGTTTCACTTTACAGAAAGGCAGTGCCATGGACAACGGAAGCTCGGTTCACAGCTTCTTCCCAGTTCATCTGCTGGCTATATGCGAGGAAGCGGCATGGAGGAGATGCAGCGCCAGGTGCTAGGTGGTGAGAGGAGCTAGGGCCGCCCCGAGCTACAAGGCCACCCACACTGCATGTTCCCTTTCAAGGTTTCCATGACCAAGGCCAACTTAGCACCCATGTGGAATTGTGTTCTTTTTTTCCTAACGTGCAGCCACAGACTTGATTTTCCTTCTGCAGAAACAGCATCTTGTCTAACAGTGGGAGCACACACAGTGTGCCTCTGGTGGGGGCCCAAGGTAGTACAGCCCAGAGCCAGAGGTCTCCGTCTGTACCGTCTGTACCGTCTGTACCGGAGAGGAGGGGCCCAACACAGCACAGCCTGATCGCCCCGCACCTCCAGGCCCTCACAGGCACACACTCAGTGCACAGGCACAGCTCAGTCCTTTCAGCCGGACACCCAGCACTGAACATACATGTGAAGCCTGCTCGCGGCCAGGAAGCTCCTAAGTAGCATGATTCACACAGGGAGCACAAGCGTCCCCTCCATGTAATCCTTTAGCCTAGCTAAGGCCCCCACCCATATGCATACTCTCCACCAGAGGACAGGGAAAGGCTACGTGGCTGGAAGAAGTCCATGGGTAGGGTAAAAGACAAGCCAGGGAGCCAATCAGATGCCAGGTGCCCACATGGGCCACCAATCTCAAGAATCCATGAGGTGCCCACATGGGCCACCAATCTCAAGAATCCATGAGCAATTCACTTTCAAATCCTCTCTGACTATCTGGGGTAGCTGTCTCTTAACCTCTCTTCATCCTTTCCCATCTTCAAATAAGTTGTCTTTTACTTTTTAAATATTTTTTAAAAATTAAAAACCTATGCCTGAAACAAAAGTGTCTTTCTATGGCTGACACACAAACACCTAGGTACAAGGATCCCAAAAGCAAAGCCACACTGGCATCGAGGCCCAAAACCATATAAAGAATGTGCTGCTGTGCTAGTAGCCCTGGTTTCCACACAAAACTGAGCACAGCCGGGAGAGACTGGCTCTCAGCTCTCTGCTGCCTCTGCAGGCTGCAGCGCAGAGCACGTGTGGTCAGGCAGTGCTCACCCTGCTCCACGAGCGCTCACGCTAGTCTCTAGGATGTACCCGGCCTGTCTCCCACTGTTACCTCAACTGCTGCCAGCCAGCTGGCACCTTGGCTGGGCACCCGAGGAGCCTCTAGGTGAGTCCGGGGGCTTGGGGACCTGGCCCAGGACTGTTTCTGGTCTTTGTGCTGGAGCTAAGCCAGAGCTGAGCCGATCTCCTCCTCTGTGTCTTTCACAAGGTCCCCAGCGTGGGGCCGGCCCCAGGGCCTGCAACCTCGGAGGAAGCTCCTAAGTAGCATGATTCACACAGGGAGCACAAGCACCTCGCAGGAAGCTCCTAAGTAGCTGCTCAGCAATCTGCGATCTGGCAGCCATCAAGGCCTCCTGCAATCAGTCCTGACACCTGCAGGCAGGCCTTGTTGTCATGGTCCCCAGCCCTGAGGGGGCAAACTGAGGCATGAGAAGCAGAAAGCGGCAGACGCCAGCTCAGCAATCTGCAAGCTGGCTGCGTCAAGGCCTCCTGCAATCAGTCCTGACACCTCAGGCAGGCCTTGCTGTCATGGTCCCCAGCACTGAGAGGGCAAACTGAGGCATGAGAAGCAGAAAGCGGCAGACGCCACCAGTGGGTGGTACAGAGTGGTGCACATAGCTGGCCTGAGTGAGCACAGACCCTCCCATGCTGTCATCACTGAGCACTCATCCCCACACAGGACAAGAGAAGCTCATGGCCAGCTCCACAGACCAGAGCGGAGGCCCTGTCAGTGTCCATGTCCATGTCTGCCCGCAGCCACCACCAGCACCCAACCGTGGTGCTCTGCTACTGGGCACGCTGGCCCTTCGGCACTGCGGCTCCTGTGCGGGGCTCCAGTCCCAGAAAACCACAGACCCTGTCACTAGCATGTGTAGTGGCTCACAGGAAAGGGACGTGTTGCTTCTGTGTGTGGCTAAGACCCTCTCTGGTGTGTGATGTGGACCTGCCACAGGCAACCCTGCCACCCCTCCCTGCTCGTGGCGTCTACTCTACAGAGCTTGGGGCTGGCAGGACACTGCTGAGCTTGCTGTTATACTGCCTGGCTGACGCTCAGGAAGGCCTCTGGCCATGAACAACTTAAACTATCTCTTCCAGGCCAACTACAATAACACCTGCACCCAACAGAAACAAGGGCAAAGAATGATTCTTTGATGACAAATACAAGTAGGGGGAAAAAAAGGAACAATGTTCAGTGACTTTTAAAAGCATAAAATGACTGAGGTGACCTTCCACTTGCACTTCCGCGTACCACAGCTCATCCGGGTGTAACACTCAGTGCTCACCAAACGCAGACAGGCCGCTCGTACCTTTTAGGCGACGAACGCTCTGCTGCCAGGTATAAATGGGCACGTTTCCTGCCACATCATAGGACAATACGCATCAACAGGGAAGCTACAAACACCAACATCAGAAAACAAGTGACACTAAAGCCCACACCTGCTAACCCAGGAAGTCCACCTCCCTCACCCTATCATAAAGAAGCATTCAAAGAGGCACACGGAACCGTGTCTGTGGGGGCGTGTGTGGCATTATCTGCACTCGTGGCCCAGGGACAATGACGTGCCCAGGGAGAAACAGGGGCCTGAGAGGAGGTCAGGACCGGCTCTAGGACCACACAGGGTGCATTCCCACAGACAGCAGATGGACTGAAGAGTCAATCTGTGCTGATAACTGAGGATTGTGGAACAAAGGCTGCACTGCTGACACGTCTCAGAAGCATGGCCCAGCAGCAACACAGGAGGTGGTCCAGAGCCGGACACAAGTGCCAAAAAGAACAAGCCTTTGGCAGCAACTCAGAGCAACCTAGACTCTGTCTCATCCACAGCCAGGGCAGCACAGCCCATCCCTCGCTACACTGAGACGAATATAGGGTGGACACACAATGACACCTCAGGAGGATGTGCCTGGTGACACACCAAGCCGTGACCACGACACATGGCGAGCACTGCGAACGGGGCCAGGGACCAGGGCCACTGGCGGTGCAAACATCCCTGCCACTCCTCTCGGCCATTCCGAGGACTCCAGCCTCAAAGATCGCCAGCGTGACTCCCAGAAGGGCCCTGGCTCCTTGGTCACAGGGTCATGCGGGGTCTGTGACAGAGGGGAGTGGCAGAGGGGAGAGGCCACGAACACGTCTCCTCAAAGCCGACTCCTCTCTCAGCTGTAATGAGTGCTTTGCACCTCGAGGAGGAGGCATCTAAGGGCATGCTCAGGGGGATCTTAGGGGAAATGCTTTCTCCAAGGTTCTGACCAAAGCAATTTCAAGACGAAGCTATTAAAAAGACTCACAATAGAAGTCATCCAATATTTATAATGCTAAAATAATCTCAACCATCTGACACCCAGGACTTTTTACTATGCTTTTAAATTGTAATATAATACAGAACATTTCAAGGTCCTGGTTTATGGACAAAAGAAGTATTAAAGGAACCGACGAGATAGCTCAGCGGTCCAAAGCGCCTGCTTAGGCAAGCTTAGGCGGGTGCAGGGGACCTTGGTTCAGTCCCCGGCACTACACACTGTGCCAGCCCTGCCCTCAGGGTGGGCTGAGCTGCCCCCCAAAGTAATAGGGAAAGTCTACAAGAAATATAGTAAGATACTACATGGACGTAAACGAGCCAGCGCTTATTAGATAGCTTCTTTCCTTAAAAACAGGTGACTAAAAAAATTGAAGTACACATATGAACACTAGGGAAAAACAAAGGTGATTTTAAAAGAAACTTGCTGTTCTGAATCAACAGCCAGTGTGACTCAACATCCTTCTTACTTGCACTGAAGGCAAGGTACAGACAGGCCTTCTCACAAAAAATGGATGAAGCTCAGAGGTGCGTCCCACCCCTGCCAGCCTGCAGAGCTGGGCAGGCTGCTCCCGGGCCGAACCTCTCCCCCGAGCTGTACCTGGCATGCTCCTCAGCAACTTCGCATTGCACATGTGCCCCTTCCGGATGTCGGTGAGGATGTACTCCATGCGCTTGGCCCGCCACAGGAAGTTAAACACCCGCAGGTAGTGGCTCATGCACTCTCGCGTGAACACCTGGGGAGCAGAGAGGCTCATGGCACCAATGCAGGGAACCTGCCCACGCACAGCCGACTCCAGGAAGTCCCTCGGCATGTGAGTAATATCTGCAGCGGCACGGCAGTACTACAACAGCCGCAACTACATGCCAGGCACACTTCCGCTAGCGGGGGCAGCTAGGGCAACCGGCTTAGGGAGACACCATCGGTATCCCGAGGACGGTGAGCCCAGCCCACGTGCAGCCAGTGCGTGGACTCCTCACCCCAGCTCCCAGGGTGAGGCCTCTTTGGGGATGGCTCCAGGGCAGGCAGGCCTCCTACTGGCACACCAACTGCCCTCTGAGCACCTCCACCTAACTCACCTTCCCACACAAGTGACAAGCCCTGGGGTGGGGACCATGCCAGGCTTTCCTTTCCTGCCCAACCTCGCCTGTGGTAACCAAACATGAGCATCAAGGACAGACCAAGTAACTGTTTAGCCTGGGTATGGGCCATGCACAAACAGGTCAAGGTGTTCTGCAAACCAGCACAAGCCGCCCTCCACTGGAGCCAGGGCCAAGGGTGCACTGGCTGCCACTCACGCCCGTCACACTATGGTGCCTGGTCAGACACCCCTGGGGCTGTGCTCTCAGCTCTGCTCCGAGGGAGCTCCCTCACTTACCTCGTCTGCACTGTGCTTAGGCCCCTCCTCTATGTGACCCAGCACACAATGTACAACTGACAACCTAGCTAGTAGTGTACAGTGTTATAAAATAACTGGGTTACCTAGCTAGACGTTGCAGTTCACCTACTTGGTGAATAATCAAGGCCATTACCTCTCCTGCAGCATCTTTGGGTTGTTTTTGCTTCTCTGGGCACCAGGGACAGAACCCAGCAGTGCACTCGGTAGTGCACACACCCAGCTCTGCTCTGTCTCTTCCATGCTGTGGCAGTAACAGGTGACTACACAGACTGACACGCATGACAGAGAAGTCCCCGGTGTAAGTCATGCACCTTGGACTCAGAACCATTGACTGCCACTTAGGGTAGGGTCCAAGGAGGGGAGGTCCCTGTGGACAGACCTGCAGCCAGCACTACGGGCAGCAGTGCATGGAAACCGGGAGAGCTGGGACCTCACAAAAAAGACACTGCGCACAGGAACACATGCAGCTCTGTGGCAGGCTGGGCAGACCTCCTCGAGTGGGCACAGACACCTACGGCTCGGACTCCCACTCCCCCAGCGGGAATGGGACTTGCACAAACGATCAAGAACCACGAAAAGGATGAAAGCCGCACCCGACTGCTGCTTCATGGAGCATTTCTCTTGATAATTAAAAGAGTGCAGCAATTTGAGTGATACAAAGGACTGAGGTAAGCTTAAAGACATGCTGTGGTCAAGGAGAACACATTCAGGCCTGAATAAAGAAAGGAGCCGAGAAAGAGGCATCTTAATTGCAGACACGTAAGGGCACCGCGCCTGGTCGACCTTTGATGATTTGGGAACTGTGAAAAGAAACAGTACTTTCCTTCACACATGGTAAAAGCGCTACGAACAATAGTGCAGCTATTTTCTCATCAGTTTAAATGAATACTAAATATCAAATTTTATCTAAGTAGCAAAAATACGATTCCCCTAAAATACACTTTATAGTTCCTTTGAAATTATCCTAAATTAGTTGCTACAGTCTAAGAATAATGGAACAAAATGAACAATCCATTTATTAAGTACTCACTGAAACCTATGATGGAACAAATGATATTTTTAAGAATTATTAAAATAATAGAGCATTTCTGCTCTCATTAATGATTATTTAAAACACACACAATTCTGGCTTAAGTGTTCATTCAATGGATACAGCCTTGATGTCATGGTAACTGTAATCAGAACTTCTTTAAGAAGAAAGCCATTTACAACGACAGCATGCTCCGCACCTACAGCTGCGGGCCACACGCACAGGGGCCTCACCGTGGCAATCGGGCCATCCACGTGGTAATCCAGGCTGAAGACGTCCCACCCCGTGTCTCCAGGAGAGACCTGACAGCAAAAGAAACAATCGACTGAGCTGGGTGTGAACAACTGTGACTGCTGGGGAAAAAGAGAGGCCTAATGTAAGTATGGCCTGTGTGACAACGCTCCCTTTAAAAGGTGGACCCTTGACGCCCAGCCTGAGAATAAATAAACCCCCCTCACTGCAAGCATGTTTAGCTCTGAAAGCAAGGCATTCCCTTTCTATCAACCTGGAGGGAGGGAGGAGGAAGGCAGGCAGGAGGTCCCTCCAGAATCCCTTACCCAGCTCCGCCAATACTCGTGTTACACCCGTGCACCGCACCGGTGAGCAGCTCTATCTGCTGTGTGTCCTACCGCACTCACTCTGCAGCACGACAGAGGCCGTGAGCTTGGGGAAGCCGAGCCCAGCAGCCCAGAGGCACCCCCTCTGCGGAGCGGGGACCCACTGGCTCTCCAGGGACAGGCACCGCAGGGCAGGGTGCCCGCAAGCCAGGTTCTGGGACTGAGCAGGCGTGCTGAGGAGCCTCCCGCCTGGCGAACCTACCTCCAGCAGTCGCACATCCAGCCTGCGCAGGATCTCAGGGCTGTCAAACTGCGCATTGGTGGCTCTGACGGCAGTTTCAAGAATTCCAGTCAGGTTATGCTGATACAGGGTCGTTGCTGGACGGACAAGTTCTGGTCTTAACAAATTTTTAAAAATTATTACTTGAACTTCTAATGAACTTCAGAAAAATTTAGAAATCAAATTATAAAAACCGAAAAGACAAATGGGACCAATACAATGTGATGTTAAATGATCCATAGTATTAACTGCACATAGGGCCTACCAAATACTTTTAGGTATAAACATGTCTATAAAATCTCAAGCCAGCCACGGATAGCTCAGCAGCATAGGTATCTGTCTGGCAAGTGCAAGGTCCTAGTTTGATCCGCAGTACCAAAAAAAATCTCATGCCGTATGGCTATACTCCCAGCACTTGGCAGGCTGAGCAGGAAAACCGCTGCGAGTTCAAAGCTAAACTGGGCTACATAGTGAGCATGAAGCCAGCCTGACCTGTACAGTGAGACCATGTCTCAAAAAACCAAAACTAAATAAATAAGCAAAAATTAAAATAAAACCTCCAAAATGTTCGTTTTGAGTCAGCCTAAACTGAAGGTACTCAGATATACTATGCATGTTGGTAAATCACATTTTCAAACCTCAATCTGGACTATGAGTAGCACCAGCCACCGTGATTTCCTGCAGAGGCCCAAGAGGAGGACAGGTCTTTGCCAACAGAACTGAGACATAGGCATACCCACGTGAAGGGATGGCAGCGGCACCTCTAGGGGCCTCACAGCTGAACGACAACCCCCACCCCCACGTCTGCACAAGCGCTGCCAATGCTGTCCTGAGATGAGGCGGAAAGACAGGAGGAAGAGACTGCTGCTCTCAAGGCAACGTGCGGCACGCCGCCATCAAGCGACACGGCTCCCTTTAAAAGGTAGGCCCTTACAACAGCCCCGAGAAGAACTCCACCTCACATCGAGAAAGCAACACCTGATACATCCAGCTGCGGCCAAGGCACACAAGCAGCGAAGCCAGTGAGGCCTTGCACCCTCACGTACTGCCCTCAGGCGAGGCATCTCCAAGCACACCCCAGACACCTGGTGTCCAGCCCGGCAGCCAGGCCTCCTTTACTCAGGCGAAATGTTACTCAGTGGCCACACTGCCGCTCCCAAGCTCATCCAGGTGGGCAGGGGTCGGCTACTGCTGCCGAGCCTCTCACACTGTGGTCGGCACTTGTGTGCCTGAGATGGGCCCTGGGGGCAGCCCCCTCCCCGGCCACCCCACAGCACCAGCACCCACACACTCCTCAGCTCTGCCTAGATCTTTGGCCAGACCAGCATGGGACACCCAGTCACAGTTGAGACAGTCACTGAGGCAGGCATGTGCCAAAGCTCGAGAAACAAGGCCTGAACAAGTGCTGGACTGGCACAGGCAGGACTTGAAGGACTCAGGTCCACGGTCCTCAGCCCCTGGGACACCAAACCACAGTCGTGGTTCTCGAGAACACCGGAGTACAAGGCCCTGCCTCACGTGAGCACACGGCCACATCCCATCAGTGCAGCAGTGCTAGCCTGCCCTCAGCCCAGACCCTGTCTCTGGAGCAAGAGGGTGCCAGAAGAACCCAGCGGGGAGAGCAGTGGTCTTGTTCTGCTACACCAAGTACCATTAGCTAAAAGGAGTGATAAAAGCACAACGTACAGCACAATTTCTGGTTAATTTCACACTACAGCCAAAGCTGACTGTGATCTCTCCAGGCTCCTTGGACTGTGTCACTGTCCACGCCACAACCTCATAAGGACAGGGACACAGGGTGTCTCAGACAAAGCACAGCACAAGGCCAGTGCCTGCTGGAGACCCCAGTAAAACAAAAGGACCTCAACCTGCAAAAAGGTCACCATTTTACCTCTGTAGATTGTGCCTTACAAACATGATGAGAATTCAACTCATCCCCTTCTGATGCCACAGATTCTTTAAACAGAACTGGTCAAAACTTTTTACGCTAAAAGGAGCACATATTTTATAAAAATCAAAACCGTCACAGTTCTTACTTCAGCAAATCCATTAAGTGCCTGATAAAGTCTCCCTGACCAAGAAGCAAGTACCGCCTCATGGCCTGCATGTGGTCCAGCAAGCTGTACTTCTTACTGAGAACATCCAGTAGGTATTTGCTGGTCTCAAAATAAGCAGCATCAATTTTCCCTTGAAATGCATTTTCTAAATCTGTGAATAAATCCGCAGCTGTAAAGAACAAAGGGGAAAGCACACATACACATGTAATATGTATTTACCCAGGACGGGGAAGCAGGCGCAGACAGCAGCTCACCTGCCGGCAGTGTCCACAGCGGACCCCACCCGGCCAGCACAGCTGCACGGTCGGCTGGTGAGAGGAGCGCAGGCCCAACACACTGACACCCAGCGGGACGGAGTGCAGCTTGGCAGCTGGGTCCACGGGGAACTGGTGCTGGGCTGCTCCTGATTCCAAAGATCTCTGCCATACTGGGACCAGCCTGAGTCTCACTAGCACTCAGTCACCCCACTTGTCAAAACCTGTCCCAAGACCAACTCCACCCATGTGTGAGCTCCACGGCCCAGCTCAGCATCCTACAGTGAACTCCAGGCCGTCGCTGGAGACTGTCCAGGCAGCAGAACCAGAACACACAGCAGCCTGGTTCCAAAGAGGAACGCAGCAACAAAGTGTTTCCATAGCTCACTACTAAAATGAGATAATACAGAGACTACAGATATAATAGAGCTTTTATAATGCTAATTTACATCTGTGCAGCTCAAATGGTTTATAAAACATATCTGAAACATTATATTTCACTTAAGAGCACATTAACACTTGCGTAGAAAGTAATCCCAATGCTGAGGCACAATCTAAGATAGAGAAAGGTGAAATACTTGATCAAGGTTACTCTGGAATGCCAAGGCAAAGCTGTGGTTGCAACTTGAACCTCCTTCCATGACCCGTGTTAACCCATGTGAAGGGACCTGGACGCTGGAGGATTCTCTGTTCTCCGGATGAGGCCAGTTGAAGTACCCATCCAGCTTTAGTACTCCTGCCACTCCTAGGTCCCCAGAAGACCACAGACACATGAGGCCTGTGGCCAGCACAAGCGAGGCCCTCCCAGGCTGACTGTGGTCCTCTTTCCAGGGCCCTGGGCTTCACTCCTGTTGAGCTGCATGGCCATAAGAATGTAAATACCCCCCATTTATTTGTCATTGGAGTCATTACACTTGCGAATCTGATGAAGAAAGTGTAAATATTAATCGGTTCCAGCCCAGAGCAGCCTCACACTCTACCCCTGGTTTCAGCATCCCTCAGACGTCACCCCTTGCATTTCCCTCTGAGCTCTTAATTAATACTTTTAAATCCTCAAAAGTTTTGCACAGACAAATACGCACTTGACATCTTCCAGTGCTTTGTTTTATTAGTAGTCTTCTGAGGTTCATACCTTTATCTTTCCACCACACTACAAACACAGCAGCAGCAGAAAGCTCATTGTACACAGACACTGGCCATAGTAGAGGACCCAAGGAGCTGTAGGAGTCACCACCAACAAAAAAGTAACTGAGATGCACCAGTAGGGGGCCAGCAGCCACAGCAGCAGGAGTAGAGTAATTCACAACAGTGGCCGAGTAACAGCAGCAGCAGTGCCAACATCACAGCACTCCACTAGTGGCGTAACAGCAGCAGAACTAACAGCATGAGCAGCAGTAGTGATAACAGCAACAGCACAGTAACAGCAGGAGATGCAGTACAATGGTAACGGCAGGGGTAATAACAGTGCAGAGTAACAACGGAGTGGTAACAACATAGTAACAGCAGAGTAGAAGCAGCACAGAGTAACAGCAGTAGAGGAAGAACAGCAGAGCAGCAACAGCAGCAGAGTAGTAATAGTTCTAGTGTAGTAACAGCAGTAGCACTAATAGGAACAAGGTAATAACAGCAATCGAGCAATAACAGTGATGAGGACCAATAGCATCAGAGAACTCATAGCAGCTGAACAGTAACAGCAGAGAGTAGTAAGAGCAGTAGTAGAAATGGTACAGTAACAGCAGCAGAGTGGTGACAGCAGTAAAACAGGACAGCAATAGAATGGTAACAGCAGAGTAGTCACAGTCTAGGGCAGTAACAGCGCAGAAGAGTAATAGCAGAGTAACAGCAGGAGAAAAAGCCGGCAGCAGGAACGGCACACAGCAGTAACAGAAGCAGTAATAAAAACAGAAGAGTAAGAGCAAGGAAGTTGCAGCAGGAGAAAAACAGCAGCCGAACAGCAAGCACACAGAGCAGGAGCAGCAGCACAGCACTGAGCCTCAGGAGAAACAGCAGCACTGCAGCAACAACAGCAGAGCGCGACGGCAGCAGAGGGGTGACAGCAGAGCAATGCGAGCAGTGAGGGGGCAGCAGCCCCCGTCCCCTCGGGAACGCCTCCCTCAGACGCCAGCCACACTGACTGTGCTCAACCTGGAACTCCCAGCTGACATGTGCGTTACCACTGCGTGGTACTGGGTGTGCAAGGCCTACCAGCGGACTGCTACCAACAGCATAAAAGGAGATCCGGAGGGGAGGGTGGTGTGCTACTGATGCTCCTGCAGAAGCTTGCCACACTGGCTTTCCTGATGTAGACTTGGCTGCTGCCACTGAGGACGGCTATGGTTCTTTGCGGGAGCTCTGGTCCTTACCTTGAGCAGCGCTTCCTTGCTCCAGTGCAGACCCCTAAGCCGGTGACACACATCCTTCATCCTGCTGGTCAAGACCTTCTCCCACCACTGACCCTTGGGCCTTCCCAGTGCAGATCCTTTAGAGACTGCAGGAAACATTGTCTGGGGCTCTAGGCCACCAGCTGGACTTGTGGGAGACACTGCCATGGCTCTAAGTCTTCAACTGAATTTGTGCAGTGTTGTCAGCAGGGTTTGCAAGGAAAACAACATAATACAGGATACTTAATTTATAAGATTATTTTACAATGTCACCCAAAGAGTTGTATCCAGAGGGAGTGCAGGAAGTCTGTCCACACGGTAACAACCAAAGAATCCAGCTGAGGGCCTGAAGCCATGACAATGTCCTGCATGAATCCAGCTGAAGACCGAGTGGAGACCAGGAGCCCACGACAACGTCTCATGCAGGCCTATTTCACGGAGCTGTGCTGGGAAGGCCCAAAGGTCAGGGGAGGAAGCCAGAAAGTCTGTGCCAGAGGGATGAAGGATCCGTGCAGCAGGCCGAGGGATCTGCGCAGGAGCCAGGAAGCGATTCTTGAGGTTAGGGCCAGAGCTCCTCCAGAGGGGACAGCAGCCATTCTCAGCGACAATAAGGTCCTGAGCTCTCTGACAGGCACAGCCGAATTCATCAGGAAGGCTAACATGACACGGTCCTCCAGGAGAACCAACAGTTCTCACAGCACAAACAGCTCCCAACAGCTTCTCTTCTTCTCTTGCAGTTCTGCCCCATATGCTGCCAGCAACAGTCCTCAGATGGGCACCCACACCCAGCACCACGCAGGCTCAGTTCAGCTGGGTGCTACAAGTGGACACCAGCTGTCAGTCTACCCCATGCAGGAGGACACTGCTGTGGGATCCAGGCCCGCAGCTGGATTCTTTGGGTCTCCAGTGTGTGGACAGATCACCTGCACTCTTCTGCATTCGACTCTGGGTGACTATTATAAAACAACCCTATAAACGATGCGTCTCCTAGTAAGTGTACTCCCTGTGAACATTGGCAATCGCATCCTCTCCGCACTACACGAATGCTCTGTTGGCTCTGCCTCTTCCACCCTCTTCAACATGGGCATCTCTCCCCCAAAGCTGTTCTTGGATACATCTCCTTCTCCAGGAGCAAACCCAGAGGCTGTGGAAAATTCTGCACATAAGAGCAGCAGGCATGAGACCACAGCAATCCACAACCCCGGGGGCATGGCCCTGACTGTGGGACTCTCTGAACATCACTCCCAATACAACGTCTCATGCAAAGTGAACTCTGAATGCGCCTGCCTAGGCAAGTGCAGGGACCGGGGTTTGATCCCTGGCACATTGCCATACCGGCCCTGCCCCTAAGCACAAATCTGGGTGTGGTGGTGCACATGTGTAATCCCAGTGCAGAGGAGGCTGAAAACATGGGGATCACTAGAGTCTGAGCTGCATAGTGAGACCCTGTACCAAATACATAAATTTAAAAAAAAAAAAAAAGATAGAAAAGTAAATAGCAAATATAGCCAAGACTAGAAAGCCAGACGAGTAAGTTAGCCAGACAACCTACAGACAGACCACTGAAGCTGGGGCAGGCAGCAAGAAAGGAAATGTGTGCAAGGGCCACCAGGGAAGGAGGAAGCACAGCATCACAGTGCAAGGGGACTTCAACCAACACCCTGACACAATAATCACTCTTAAATCTCTGCTTTCCTACCGAGTATGGAGTCCTAAAGTGTGGCTGCCACTGGTGACATTCACCCACTTCTTATTCTGGCACATGTCACTTCGCAATTAGAAAAAACGGTACCACAAACCACTAAGCAGGATAGAATAACCGTACCCTTCCAATACCTCCCTACCTGCTACCTACTGTGTCAAGGGCGTTAAACAGCCATAGAGTAAAGGATACCGTGTATGACCTTAGTGACTCAGATGAACTTTAAGTCCTGTGCACTTTAAACTACAGATGTGTGAACGTGCGTATGTAACATCACCACTGTTACCACCACCACCACAGCACTGTCACTGAGACCATCATCCAATCACATCATCACCCCCAAATCATCATTATCCATCCCCATCCCCATGGCTTTCATCACCGCCCCCTCCACAGTCATTCTCATTGACCACATACCATCTTGGGGTGACTCTGCAGATTTGGTCACAGCTATCATCTTTGTAGTGGGCGTCTGATCATGACAAACTTGATGCAAGAAATTTATTGATTTTCCTATCAAAAGGACCTGAAATGAAAAATATCCTACAATTATCTTATATCAAGCTTAAATAGTCATCAACTACTACAAATATTCTACAAATGTTATAAATTAGCTATAGAGTAAAAACTACATAACCAGGGCTTCAGATCTAGTATCAAGTGAACTCTCATTAGCAAATGTGTCAGCAGGCTGACATCCAGGTGACGCTTATGTCACCTCATAACAAATAAGCTTAGAGGGCCAGGGAGATGGCTCAGTAGAATAAGCACTTGCCTGGCAAGCACAAGGGCCTGAGTTCAGTCTCCGGTTCCGGAAAAAAAAAAAAAAAAAAGCCTAGAATGCAACAAATCTATCTGAAAATTAGTTTTGCCATGTGACCCCAATAGAGCAGTGCAGCGTCAAAGCCGCAGACTTCTCCCCCTACCTTCCTAGACTGATCCATTGTCATAAAAGACGGAATCATGGATTTCCTCAAAGTGTACTTGTCATGCCACAGTCGATCAGTTTTAACCGTTGGGTCTGATGCTACAAAAAACTGAAAACAAAAGTGCATCATTAGTAGGTAACAGTGCGAGCTACTGGCTAAGCACCAGCCAGGATACATTACTCTAGGAAGTTAGGCATACTGGACAGAAGCCTAAGTTGAATTATATTCCTAGACTTTTAAGACCAAATTACAACAAAACCAAACCGTGCTTTTCTTGGCACCTAGGGAGCCTCGTTACAAGTAAGGCTCAGTGCTGCCTCTGCCAAGCACGTGTGAGGCCACACAGCTGAGGGCTTCCCTCAGGCCCCGTCACCTACCCTACACTCAGCTATGCCTCTGGGGCTTGCCTACCCTTGCTGTCTACTCCACAGAGCTCCAGGGCAGGGCCCACGCCCCACACTGTGCTCACAAGCAGGCCCAGGCCCGACTACCACCCAGAGAACCTAGCTGGCACACACACGGACAGTGGCAGCAGCAGCCAGGCTTTGTGGCTCTCTCGGGAACCCCGGATCAAGAACCTGCTCCCTCAGGCAAGCTGCAGCACCCTCTTCCCTTCCCAGTACCAATCAGCAGCATCGGAAAGGCCCCCACTGGTAAGGAGAAAAGTTCTCTGCCTCTCCCACACTCACACCCTATGCCCGTCCTGTCATGTCCATCAACTTGCATCTAAAAGCAGAACTGCGGAGTGAGGCCACTTCAAGCTGGACAGACACACGAGGCCGCCCTTCCACACCTGTGTGTAGACATGGGCAGCAGCAACCTTGAGCCCGAAGCCTCACCGGGTTCAAGTTTTGCAGGCCCTAGGTGCAATCAGCTGTCCTGCATCGTTGCCTGCTTGACAACAAATGAAGCTGTGCACAGTCTCGTAACACTGTTGCCCTTGCTTTTCTTCCTATGAATTTTTTGTGCCCTTGACCTATCTACCAATTTCATCATTTTTTTCTTGCACTACGCAGATTCTCTGTACATTAGGGACAGTGACTCATCATCACAAATTTAATTTTGCTAGGCTAATTATTAGGCATTGTTTACACTACATTCTGTGTTTTTATTTGCTCTGCCCCAGGAGAGTGGGGCATAAACATAAACATCTGCATTCCTCCCTAGCTTCTGGCCCTGTTGGACAACAGCCACATTTCTGGGCTACAGAAATGCTCCTGTCACATTCCAGCAGTGTGTCCACCATGTCCTGTTCAAGACTGGCTCTCAGGAGGGCTCAGGGGATGCTGCTGCAGGCCCGCAGGCCTCTGCTCCTGCGAGACTTGCTCTTGCGTGCTGGACAGCCCCATTCCTTCAGCATGCTCCCTCACAGAGAAGCGCAGGAGTCCCTGCAAGCCCTGTCCTCACCTTCCACCTGGGGTACTTGTCATGGTCAAGTGCACCAGAGTTTGAGCCCTGTCACACCCTCACACCACTGCCTCTTCCAGCAACAGGGAGCTCTGCAGCTGCCCTGAGGTCTCTGTCTGGACAGCCAGGGCTCTTCCTCGCTTCCTGGTACTCAGGGCTCCAGCTCATCTCGTCTTCAGGATCAGCCACAGCACCAAGGCACACAGGCCTCCTCTAACAGAGACAGAGCCATAGGATCCCAACCCCCACGCTCAGGACCAGAAGCCTGGGCAGAGTGAACTGCAGCTTTGCCCCATCCCCCAGACCAGAGTTCACTTAAGTCAAAGCTTGCCACAAGTGCCTGTGACCCCCAGATCAGCAGTAGGGGTGACAGCCACCTGACCGGATGTGGCCACACCACAAGATGGCTCAAAGAATGTTTGGAGTATTTCAGCAATTACAAAGTAACACGGGATACTGATTTCCTGGCAAAACATAAGAGACCAAAACTAAACCCAGAAGAAAGAAGACTCCTCCACAGAGCAACTTCCTTATAAGAACTTGTAAATATAAAACACTGTCACTAAGGTATGGGGCGTGCTTAACTTGTTTTTTGAAAGACACCATTCTTATGTAGTTCAACATATTCAAGGCTGCAGAAAAGTATGCAAAATGCCATTTGCTTTATGTAATCAGGATAACACTAGCCCTTCTGATAAGAAAATGTCAAAAATTATTACAACAGTTTCATTTCTGAACACAGAAAATTCTGCATAAAAGAATCCTTGTTTTCCTGGAATAGAATATTCTTGGTCAAGGTATATCACTTCCAGTATACCCCTACAAAACCAAGTGACAATATTAGTCATTAAAAATAATATTAGTCATTAAAAATAATAGTATTTAGTCATTAAAAATAATAGTATTCTGTAAGCTTTCACAGCCCCAGAGATTCTGAGGAAGAACAGTTATGTCACACATGCACAAACAAGATCTGACACCCTACTCCGGAAAGCCAGAGCTCATTGACCCTTCATATAGAAGAATATTATTTAGTGGCAAGAAATAATATTATTCATTTCAAGGAAAAAAAAACATTATGAAATAGGATACATAGGGCACATATAATTAAAAATGGGCAGACACATAAACATTATCTGTCCACAATAAGATTCTTGGTGAATAATTTTCTCCACTGTATGTTTATATAATCAAAAGGTTTAAATTATACAAACTTTTATATCAGAAAAAATTACCATTTAGGGCTGGTGAGATAGCTCAGTGGTCTAAAGCACCTACTTGGAAGAAGCTTGGCAAAGCACAGGGACAGTGGTTCGATTCCCAGCACCACATGCCAGCCAGCCCCGCCCCCTGGTGGGCTGAGCTGGCCACACACACACATACATAAATAAATAAATAAATGTTAAAAAAAAATTACCATTTAGAAAAAGAATCAATAACCACAGCCAAATACTAAATATGTTACCAACTTTTTTTAATAACATAATTTTCTTTCTTTCTTTCTTTTGTATTTTAGGGAAGGGTCTACAGGGTGTTCAGGGTCTCACTACTAGATTGGACTCGTAGTGATTCTCCTGTTTTCAGCCTCCCAAGAGCTAGGATTATAGGTGCATGCCACCACGCCCAGTCTAATAACGTAATTTTTAAGGGCAATTAATAATGTTTCTTCCTTCCTCTTTCACAGAAATTTACTAGGGAGGGTAAATATTTAGAGACAAAACTTGAATGAGGCCCAGGTCTTCCCTGTGAGCCCCAGAACAGCCAGGCAACATCAAATCTGTACACATCTTCTCCTCTACAATTAGGCACACAAATAAATGCCAGTGTTCTTATGAATGCAGGGGGGATTGCCACACTTTATTTTCAATTCAAATTTACCCTTCAATGAACAAAGCATTCATTGATCTACTTCAGACTTTTTAAATTTATATTACCTTTCTAATTTAAAACACATAACTAATGACTGCTTAGAGAGAGAAAGAGTTGCACTCTGAGGTTATCATCTACTTAAATTACCCCGAATAAAAACTAAAGTCCATCACAAGAGCTCTGGGAATGGTCTCTGAGGCTAGCCAGTCACAGCAATGGACTGCTCTGCAGCTGGCCATTCAACAGATTAGATTAATTGCATATAAATTGCATTTGTCTGTCATTCACTTAAAAAGAACCTTCAGTTTTTACAGACGTGCTGCTTCTCCAAGTCCAACGTGCTGGACTGCAGCTGGAAGTCTACCAGTGTGAACAAGAGAAAATTCAATGGAAACCGTAAGAGACCCTCTGGCCACGTGGTCTCCCTGAGGGCAGTGGCTCCGCCAGCAGAGAGCAGTGAGCACAGAGGCCCCGTGCTCCTCTGGAGCAGTGACAGAGGGAAGGCCCAGGAGCACGGAGCTCCGACAGTTTTTATTGCGCCGGTGCCCTTTCCACTTTCAGTGTTCCGTCAAACTCGGAGGGAGCCGAGGGAGAAGCTGCAGCGGCAGTGGGCTGTGATGCTTGTCACTGGCTGGGCGGACGCCACGCTTCCGACTAGAGAGAGACCACAGGGAGGATTTCTGAGCAAAGGATTTGTCCCCAGGAATCAGACGTGGAGGGACGGAGCAGAAAGATGGGCTGCACCTCGGCCACTCTGCAGGCCACTGCACGAGTCCCCCAGACTCCCCTGGGGACGTGATCGGGTTGGGACTCTGCCATGAAGGCCACGCATGGGTGAACTCAGCAAGGACAGTGTCTCCTGGGGACAAGGTCTGCTGCCCTGGTTCCATTCGGCAGCACCAAATGTGTCACCTGTTTCGGTGCCAGCGTGAGTGGAGCTGTCCCCCTAATCTCCGTGTGGCTGCTTGCTGGCAGTATACAGAAACACCGCTGGCTTTGGTGACTGATCTCGGGCCCTGCTCTCTGGTGCGCCTGTGTATTAAGACACAGGTGTCTCCCTTTGCCTTCCCAGATCTACACACTATGTGTGTGTTGACACAGCTCTCCTGCTTCCCCACCTGGATGCTCTGCTGCCTCCTTCCTGCCCAGGGCTCCCACACAGCGCAGACCAGGGCAGGGACGGTCGAAGCCAGCCACCTGGCCGCCCTTCACCGGTGCCATGCAACCATCAGTTCCAGAGCCCCGGAGCCACTTAAGTTGCTTTCTATGCTTCACTTGAGTGCTTTCCTCAGGAAAAGGTGCTGAATCTCATCAAGCGCTTATCCAGCATTCACCTCGAGGGCTGTGTGTCTTTTCCCTTGCTTTGCCGCCGTGTGTCACACTAACAGCCTTCTTTGCACCGAAGGGCAAGCCCTCTTGGCCTTGGCTGAAGTACCACCCTTTCCACAGGGCTGACCTGTTTCCTAGGACTTTCGCTACCTAGGATTTTGTATCTGCAAGCATGAACAATACCGGCACCCTCTTGTTACTGCTTGAAGAGTTTTGCAAAACTGCTGCTAATTCTTTACACACTTGCTTAGTGTTCACCAGAGCAGCCAACTGGCTGCGAACCATTCTTCACCGAAGTTTCTCAATTATGGATTCAATCTCTACCTATGCAGGCCAATGCAGATGGATTTTGGTAGTCCCTGCATTTCTAGGAATTCTCTATGGTTTTATTTATCTGGAAATCTTCACAGGGTTCTGGATCCCTCTGAGTCTTCCCACCGCCAGAGCCTGCACCCGCCCCCGCCTCTGCTCCCCAGTGCCCAACGAGAAACTGCTGGTCTCACATGTGTTTCCCACTGCTGCTGCACCAAACACTCCTCTGGCTTTGGCTATGTACAGCTAATCACGTCTCTCCATTGTGGGTCTCTTCATTTACATTACCCTGAGCTTGCTGAGGCCCGTGGACCTATTGATTCGTGACCTCCCTCCCACATCCTCATTCCATTCCTGACCTGCGTGCCACAGCACACCCGAGCGCCGCTCTCTTCCTGCCCCCTTTCCCTCCTGGTGACTCCTTCATCCTGCGGCCACTGCTTTCCGCTCACTCCACCCTGCTGTGGACCTGCGGACGACTCCTCCATCACAGGGCTTTCCGGTGCCACAGTCTCTGCTTCCTTATACTCTTTCAACTGCTATCTCTTGACTGACTTTTGTATGTTATCAGTTGGAGCCAAAAGAAACCAGGGGAAGACTGGATTAAGTCAGCTTCAGAGGTCTCACTGAGCTTAGTCTCTCTCTAAGTGTGCCGGAGCCACCTAAACTTCTCACATTTATTGAGGGCTACAGACAGGCTAAGGAATGTGTGTAACTAATTTGGTGCAAGCAAGCTGTTACTTACATCGCCTTCTGGCATTCACCAAGCTCTCAGTTTATGTATTACGAGTTGGTAGCTTCCCAGGTAAAGGAACAAAGGACAGGGCACCTCCTCCCGGACTCTGTTACTGCCTTGTCTCCAGCTTGCCAGAATTCCAAGGGGTCAGTTTCCGTAGGCTCTGTTCTTTGTTCTTCACACCCACAGGACACTAAGCTTCTGACTCTTATCACTACAACTGATATTCTACTTTCTTTGATTATGGAAAGTGGTACTTCCCACTCAGATATCCCATAAACTACCTCCTATGAAGTGAATTACACAGCTCCTGTACACAGACTGAAAAAAATTAACATGTATCAGAAATGAAAAGAAAAATCCTCAAGTCCTAACATAATGATCAAGCAGAACAATTCTCAGGCTGGTGAGATGGCTCAGTGGTGTAAAGCACCTATTTAGACCAAGCTTAGCAAAGCACAGCGACCACGGTTCAATCCCCCAAAACCACAAGCCAGCCCCGCCCCCTGGTGGGCTGAGCTGGCCACACACACACATAAATAAATTTAAAAAAAAAAAAAAAAAGCAGAACAATTCTCTGAACTAACAGATACATATGATAAATATATTACTTAGAGAACTTTTCTAAAATTAAAGACAAATAAAAATTTGTAAACATAGGGTTTACCAATCAGAGAACTGGAGGGGTCAGAGAGATAGCTCAGCAGTCTAAAACACCTGCTTAGGCAAGCTTGATCCCCAGCATCACATGCCATGCCAGCCCCTGCCCCCAGGACGGGCTGAGCCAGCCAAAAAAAAAAGAAAACTAGAAATGTCCGAAATCTACAAGGAAATGAGGGGCCCTGACACCACGGCCCCAACTCCATGGCCCTAGGGAGCCCTCAAGTGTCAGCCTGGTTCCTCAGGATTGGCAGAACCTAGAGTCACACATTTTGCAGGTGTCTGACTTCGGCATGGCCCACACAGGATCCAGGGGACAAGCACCACCATTGTGCGCCTTGAAAGATGGAGGAAGAAGGACCGAAGCCAAGAAGGGCCCAGGACAGAAAGCCCCAAAGCACCTGAACTGGGGCCAGACTGCGAGTTGAATGACCTCAAATATGTGAAAGCTGAGCAGGAAGTGCTGCCCACGTGCCAGGACAAGACCACACTTGCATCCATATGTATCAATGCCAGGAAACATGAAGCACGGACCACAGCAAAGGAAGACCCATGCGCAAGGTGTGTGGGCTGCGCATGCTGCAGAGCAAGCACTCAAGTCCCCACCCAGACTCTGGGCTAAGTACCACCTATCCGAAACACAGGGGCCAGACGCGTTGGGATTTGGGATTTGGGAATACAGACACTCCTCCTTTTACACTGTGGTAAACCTGTGATAGATCTGCTTGAGGGAGGGCTCCAACTGGCAGAATATTCTTTTACACGTTTGCAGCAGGGCCATGCTTCCTAAGTCTCACTGCCAGGCAACTTGCAGCCCGGGGGCACATGCATGACCGTCCCATCACGTGGCCTTTATTAATTTCATTGGTGTAATTCCATGGGTAGCACCAGCAATACAAGATGCCCACGGGATGGTCTTACCCCTCCCACTGGTAACTCAAGCCAGCACCCACTGCCCAAAGGGAGCATGTAAAAGGACACCCCCAATATTCAACCCTACAGAGAACATATGCCCTATCAATAGGTATGCAGCCAAATACAAACCGATCTGTCCACACAGTGAGTGACGTAATACAAAGTAATGAACGACGGACTTGTGTGACACAAGTGCACACACACAACCCACCATGCGTCTCCACCGCAGCACACAACGCAAAATCACACATAGGTGGTTCTGCTATAGTGTTCATTTTAAAAGTAGTATTATAACTAGCACACTGGTGAGTAGACAGCGTTCTGGGCACAGCAGTGTCCACGGGGAGGAATACAAGCCTGGCTGAGACACAGCCCACACAGCACAACAGCCCCACCAGCTAGCCTGCTGCTGAGGCTGCTCGAGGTCAGGGATCACCCCCCGCCTCCCAACCCCCAGCCACCAGTCTCCACCCTCCATGCCCACATCACACAGGACACAAGGGCTCAGCCTCCCACGCCATCCACTTAAGCTTCATTATAGGAAGATCCTAACTTTCTGGTGCTTTTAACCTTATTAGCAAGTCTGTGAGTATGACACCCCCCACCAAAGCCCTAGGTTTTTCACTGTGCAATTCTTGCATCTGTCGATTTTTTGGGGGAGGTAGGGATACTGAAGACTGAACTCTGGACCTTGTGCTTGCCAGGCAAGTGCTTAAGCCAATGAGCTATACATCCAGGGACCAACAGCCCAGTGTTTTTTAAGAACACACATACATTATAGTAGAACTGACTTATCTCACAAAACAAATAGACACATACACAATTTGCTTCATTCCAACTCTTAGCACCAGAGGTGATCAAAGTGAATTACGAGTAACCACACATGAACCTGCACATTCAGCCTCAGGAAGCCCAGACCTACTCTGCCACCCCCTGGCTAGGAAGCCTTGACCAGGCAGCTCGGCCCTGTTGAGCTGGGAGAACTTTCCACCAGGTAATTACAACTCTGCCAGCCAATGACACATAGCTCTCAAGGCACTGAGCAGATGCACAGAGCGCGCCAGCGAAGTGTGGGCCCCCGTTCAGATGACCACAGGGAACCACAAAGAAAGTAGGCCTCACCTCGTGGTATGTGTCCTCGAGCTCCCCATCATAGATCCAGCGGTAGAGGAAGCTCAGGACTGGGTGAGATACCAAGCTCAAGATGTGCTGCACCAGAGACCGCATGTACGGGTCTCCTGTCTTTGTGTAGGCGTGGACAGCAGAGGCCAGCTCCCCTCCTTTTCTTCCTGGGGAAATGAGAGAAGAGACGAAGCACCCCAGTGAACATCACAGCCCAAAGCCAGCACTTTAAACCAAGGCCTCTGGATTAAGCCCATGTGCTTCCTGCCACTGGCAGAATGACACTTTACATGAGCCAGAGACTCCTACTCCCTTCACGACAGCAAAAGAGATGTTCAGCTGCAAAAGTAGCAAAAAGTGACTTGAGATCGCACACCCTTCTTACTTTTTTTTGAGACAGGCTGGCTTTGAACTCACTATACAGCCCCACCTGGCCTGAGCCTCCCGAACGCTGGGATCACGGGCGTGCGCCAGGACGAGGCCTTGCCACACCTTTTGGACCAAGCTTCATACTTCACTCTGCATTCAGTATGCACAGCAGCAGCACTGGCTCTACGGCCCACCCTTCCGCTACCCCAGGCTTACTGCACTGTCTCCACTCCCTACAACTCCTCCACCAAACCTCAAAGGCAGTATAGGACAGCCCAAGAGAAGTTCTTGGAAGTGGCACAAACTGCAGGTGGAAAGTTCAGAAGGCCGCTGGAGATATAAGGAACTTCCAACACGCACAGGACAAAGATGGCATGACCCGCCCAGGAGAAAGGAGGCAAAGTAGCTGGGGAAGGCTGCTGGGCACCAGCAGACAGAGGACAGGCTCAGGCGCGGCTGGCAGCTGGACCACACATGGACCTGCAGGAGCTCCTTCTCCATGTCCTCTCCCTAACAACCTGCGCCCCCACATGGACAACTGTGGACCCGCTGCAGAGGCTAGCGCTCTTGTAAGCTTGCATGAGTAAACTGTGCCGGGGAACCTACGGCTCTCGAGGGCGCAAAAGCACAGCACACACAGCAACCCACAGGACCTTGGCAGTGATCCACAAGGGCCGCCAGCGTCTTCAGTCGTATTCTGGGGTCATAGGTCCACACCAGGAGGCGCCGCAGGGTCAGACTACTCTCAAGTCCCAAGTTGACACCCTGATCATCCTCTAGTTGCAGCTGAAAGACAACATGGAAAGTCCAAAACCCAGTCAGATGAACTCTGAATGAGCATGAAGTGGCCACAGGGAAACAATGAGGCCAGCAGTCTCCTGAGAAACTGACTGTGCTTTTAAGACAAGGCCCTGAGAATGAGCAATCAACTGGCTCTAGGATCAATGAAACTTCATAGCTCTTTGGCACTAAGAACACTTCCAATACCGACTGCTATGCTTTAACACGCAATATAGCTTAAACACCCTATGAAGTTTCAGTTTTTTAACTCTTTAAAGCTGGCAGGAACGGAAATGAAAGGATGTTACCTGGGAGTGCAGGACGGAGAGCAGCCGGTAGTACTCCTGCAGCTCCTGGTGCAAGGCGGCACAAAAGCTCTGTGTGGGAGAGCAGACACAGATGCTGCCCAGGGCTGCGCAGGCATGGGCGAGCAGCGGGGCAGCGGGGCTAAACTCTGCTTCCACTCACGGTCTGCCTGGCGGCTCTACGGCCACAACATACAGTCCATATGTCAGATGAGTGTCATTCCTCAGTATAGAAGAGCATGAACCTCACAACGGGAAAAACGTTTAATACAGTGTGGCTTTCATGACGCTAAAAGGAAGTGTGATCACTTTTGAGGAATGATCCTTTATTCTGAGATTAAGTCCTTCTAATTTTTCAGTTAAAATATAGCTTTTTAAAACGCACTTAGCTGACAAAACTTAAAACCTGACAACTCATCACCAACCCAGTCTTGCTGTGGCTTACCCTGGCTGTTTTCCAAAGCACAGAATTAAAATGCTCTGTGCACATCCAGCCTTAACACTGATGCAGGCCACATCAGGACAATGCCGGAGGTGACAGGGCCCCCACAACGTGCACACAGCCCAAGCACAGCCCCTGCTGGGGTGAAGCTACACAGCCTGCTGGGACCCATGGCCATGCTTCGGCATACTCTGATGCGACACAGGAGTGCACGAACCAGCCGTGCTTTCCTGCATGTGCACTCTGCGCTGGGACTAATGTGGCAACAACAAAAGGAAGCACACGTGTACGCATTTTTCAGGCACGAGACAGCTTGACAGCAAGACATCCAGGCTGGAACGCCCTAGCTGTGGCGGTCGGGCGCACCCTAGTGAGAAATCCTGGGCTCCCACTTGAGGGTGACTGGGTAGCTTCTTCAGTCTAGGGGGAGCAGCCCAGAAAATACAAGGGAGGCACCTGGCAAAGCTGGAGGTCACCACTCTAGGTGCCACACAGGAAGACCCGTTCCCCAGGACCCTGTATGTGTAAAAGTGTTGCTGTTGATGGGGAAGGGTGGGAAGGGGATGGGGGAGGGGCTGACAGCGAAGGTAAAGTGACAGGAGATGAGAGACAGGAGCTCCCTGTGCTGCTGCATGGACTGCCACAGCTGATTATCACAGACTGGACATTGCCACACAGCCACGGAAAGGGACTCTGAACACTGTCGCCATGAGAGATGACCACTGAGGAGGCAGGCATGGCTGCCCTGACCTGGACGGCACACAATGTGTTCCCGCACAGAAGCATCACCTACCCCTCAAGTGTGTACTATTTAACCTGCCACTCTAGTAACGCATTTAAAGTATCTGCACAGTTGGGACCACTCATTCTAGCTTTCTGAGGAATCTCAACACCGATTTCCATAGTAGTTGTACCAGTCTACACTCCCAATAAAGTGAACAGGAAACTCACAAACTGGGAAAAAATTTTAGCCAACTGTCCCTCAGACAAAGGACTTCTATTCAGAACATAAAACGAATTAAAAAAAATCAGGCCCCCAAAATTCAAAGATCCAGTCCAAAAACAGTCATCTGAGGTAGATACACATTTTTCAGATGAAGAAATACAAATGGCAAACAAATGTATGAAAAAATGTTCAACGCCACGGGCCATTCGAGAAGTGGAAAGTAAAACAACACTGAGATTCCATCTCACCCTAGAAAGAATAGCCATCATCCGGAAGTCAACCAATAACAAGCACTGGAGGGACTGTGGGGGAAAAGGAACCCTTCATAAACTGCTCAAATAGAAGGAACAATTGGGATGAGGGAAAAGAGAATGCAAAGCAAAGGAAGGGAAAAAGAATAGCTTGGATAATTGTACTGCTGATTTCTGCTTGTCTTTTTTTTTTTTTTTTTTT